AGTGTTATCTACTATTCACACCTGAAACCCTTTTTGTTTTTTATATAATATACAATTTGTTGTAACGTCAAACCCATAAAACACCCTCATACGAACTAGCTCTTAGATTGGTCATGTTACGCACCGCATTTTGATAAGGGTTGCTAATCATACCCTTCCACCGCAAATCAATGTTAACATGTAGGTACTTGTTCTACCGCATTGGTAAACTCAAACCAAACTGTGCGACAACCCTTATGGATTAAGCATGCAAGTAATGCTGTTGTGTTATATTTATGTAATGTTCATCTTAGATATATTACATTGACAATTATTTTTGGGAAAATGTTTATAAAATTGGATAAACTATTTTAGTTATTAATATATAAATATAATATATAAATTATCTAAATAAATTAGGAATTAAAAAAATGTAATAGTTAATAATTATATGAATATAAATTATGAAATAAAGAGATATTCTATTTTTATTATTATATGTATGACGTTTTTATAGAATATTATTTCATGGTTATTTTAATTTCGCAACCAAAAATTCATTTAAAGTTGTCCTAGGATACTGTATTAAAAATATATAGTGCATAAATACTTTAAAATGAACTTTTTCTTGGAATCGTAATTATCTATTTAGTAATACAATACCTGTTTTGCTTAATTTATATGACTCAATTAGCTGTGCAATACACAATGCAGTTCAGATCTATTAACGGATTATGCAATCAGGCTTAAGTGGTAGAAAAGCCAAAACGTTAATTCCCAATAAATTAACATAATAAGATTGATTTACATTGCATCTATAACCGATATTAACTTTTGGTGTTGATACCTTAATTATCCTCTTCAGTTTAATATTACAGCATAAAGCACAGAAGCTCCTTATACTATCTTAATATTAAATAACAATACAAGTTCATCCTTGTTTTGAGGCTGAAATAGGATATGTGTAATGAGAGAAGGGTGGCCCTAATAGGATCTTGATGGTTTATAAACATGACTTATAAATAGCTTAAATTCCTTCTTAAAATCTTGTATAGGTTTCAAGAAGAAATTTAAATTGTTTATTTTACTTCTTTATTAAATGATAAGTATATAAGATTTTTACTGAAATAAAATGATAATATAAGAATTTATTTCCGTAATTCAATTTTTATATATCGATCAGGAAATCAAATCTAAGAGATGAAGGATTTGATTTAATGTCTTAATTTCCTTACCTTGATTATCTAAACCTCCCATGACTGGGTACGGGACTCGCCATAGGAAAATATACTTTTCTATTACCTTCATCATTAGATTTTATAGTGATTTTTCCTTTTCTTGCATTTATTTTATATAATATATATTGTACTGTGCCCTAGATACCTCTTATATTATTCCGAAGATGAAATATAATGGAGATATGTTATATTCTTGTTACTTTGTAACTGTATTATATATAGATATTATTTAATTTAATAACTATATTTAACCGTTATATTTATAACTATCTATTGATAATCTTTAACTCTTAATTTAGAATCAAATTAAATGTGGAATAAATAACTATTTATCAGTATTCTAGACAACTTAAAAATTTTATCGTTAGGTATTGTGAAATAATTTTTTTTCATTTGTGCAAAGGCCTTTTTAAAAATACACAAAATATATATGAATTACATTTAGCATTCTAAAACTCAATTGATTTTCTTTTTTATTAAACATTAAATATTACATTTATTTTATTTATCTCTCTAATCAATTCCTCTTTACGTACTGTGTTTACTTACTATTTTAAACAAAATCAGAAATTCTCCATTTCAGGGACTGATTAAACTCCAACATCTTAATTGCTATTAGGTTGCAAACTGTCTAATAATGGAAGGCACTGAGGGAGATTTATTGTGATAAAAAATTCAATTAACATTTTACCATCAATTTTACAAAGCCTAGTAAGATAACTCCGACGGAATTTGTAGATGTTCGTTTCTAGCTGGAGATTCATAAATATATTTTTAATTTACGCTATTACTCTAATATGAATATGAAATATTGAGCCAAATGTTTCTAGAGTACCTTGGACTTCATATATATGAAAGTTTCGATGATGTTTTTATGAATAACAACCATGTAATGGACACACATGGTTGTTATTCATATAAATCATTAAAATTTAAAATAACTATACTGAAAAACTTAATATTTTATTTAACGTAACTGTTAAATAGAAAAGAAATTAATGTTCACCTATGGGAAATAATAATCTAATGTATACTATAATAATGTAATGTATAGTATATATATATATATATATATATACCCTAATGTGCTCTTGTACTAAATTTCGTTCAAATCCATTCGGTAATTTTTGCATGAAAGAGTAATATCCATCCACTCATCCATCGTTACAAACTTTTGCCTTTGTTATTACAAAGGCGAAAGTTTGTGACGGTGGATTTGATGGTTTGGATTCGATGGTTTTTAGGATATCCTATTAATATTTTAATAGGATATCCCAAAAACATTACTCTACTTTCTTTTGTAATCGGATAATTAAAAGTTTGCGTTAAGATTTGATATTTGGATTACCGGAAGCAAGCAAAAGCAAAGTGTTTCAGAGAGTGAACTGTCACTGGTTTTTAATTAAATTAATTTATTAGGTTAAATTAAGTTACGTCGGTAGGTCTAAAAATAAACAAAGCTGATTTAGTGAGAGTGCAAGTTAAGTTTCTACTGTTGTGTAAAGGAAACAAAGGTTTTGGGATAACTTTTCTTTATTGTTTGCTGCTTACAATTTAGCCGTATTTTATTAAATGCAAACAGTAAAAAAATCTCTACTTTTCAGTATCGTGAATGAAGGTATATCAATTATTTATTTTACATGCTTTTTCTTTGTAACTTAATACAAAAATTTATAAAGTAGAATATAAATAATCTTTATTTAAATAGACTTATTTATAAGCTCTTTTAAGTCAACATTTCTTTATGATTCGAAATATTTCTCAGTGACTTTTTCCAAATCAATTTAACTACAAAACAATTCCAATAAATATGTTAGAATACAAAATATTTTTTTTTTTATAATTAACCATAAAACTATAGAAGTATTGACTGTCTACAAGCAATACCTGTTCATGAGTACGATGGATGAGCTGGCAATCATCATCATTGTATCAGCCTTTAACAGTCCGCTGCACAACACGGATTGGCAACCGCAGTTTAACTTTAGAGGTGTTTTAGGAGGGACGCTACTATCCATCTCTCACCTTCCCTTAGTCGTCTTTTACGACACATTGGGCAAAGGAAAGAGTGGCCTATTCTATGCTGGGACCGCACGGTGACTAGCTAGGAATAATATGGCGTAATTAGGTACTTATGTAGTTTACTTTTTTGTATCTACTACAAAATGATAATAATAAACACAAAAGACAACATTTTAATTTGTATTTCATATAGGTAATAATGATGTTTATAATGTTAAAAATGAATATATAATTGGTTTCTTTTTCAAAACCCGACTAATGAGATATTGTTACTTAAACAATCTCTTATTTAGTGAGAAAAATAGTAACAAATTATATTTATATAGTAACCTTTTATTTTACATGACACGTAAATGAAAAACTTTTAGTACTTTTATTACAAAAGTACTAAAAGTTTTTCATTTATTTTTAAAAGAAGGTTCTCAATTTTTTTTAATTACTTTGCCAAATCTGAACACATTTTTATAATTATTTTTTAAATGGATACGTTTGTTATTTTTTATTATATTCATTTTTAGGTTGAGGACATTTGAAACTATATTTTGTTTTTTGAAGAAAATCCTCCATGTAGTTAATAAATTCTTGTTGTTATTAAATCTATATGTAAACACGCGATCTAAATTACAATTTTGAATATTTACTATGATATGAAAATGTTTTTTTGAAAATAAAATGTAAATTTAATTATTGCATATTACATTCAAATGTAAAATGTAAGTGCGCTTCCTAAAGATTTAAAAGTCTAAACACTTTTTATTTAACCTATGTTTTTACGGTTTTCGTATTTCATCTTATCAAACTATGCGATCTGCTGATATTCAATCGCCATTGTGATTATTTTTAAAAGTAGATGTGTTAAATTTATCAATTCAACTGTTTATCATCTTTTAACGTACTCAATAGCTATCCAAGATATGTTATCGACAAAGAATTAATGGTGCAGACATGGCAAAGCATTAATAAGGAAAATTAAATTCCACTTTTTAATTAAATATTTTATTTGTTGTATTTTTATATAATATTTATTTTATATAAATTATATTTGTTATTCTGTTTAAAAATTTAAACATTAATATATTTATAATAATTGCACTAATTGAGAAAAAATACTTATATATTACTTTAAAGTATAGATTCTTATAAGAGATTAGAATCTTCTACGAAAAGGTTTTTAAAAGTTTCACAGAAAGCAGACGTAGTAGAAACGAGGTAGCAGACTTCGCGTAGGAAAAACTGTAGGAGACGACTAATTATGGTAACAGCTATTATTATTTGAACCTCAAATATTTTTTTTTTGCTACTAAAAAGATTATTCTGATATCTTTATTAAATAAGTATATAAGGCATGTCTTATTTTTAAATAAATAATATTAAATTCATAACATAGGAGTATTTAGTCTCAAATAACAGATAAGGGGTCTTTCTACGTCCCAAACCAAATAAAGCAATTAGGTATCTACTATATAATAACAGGTTAATTAGATATAGAGACTTTATTCTTACACTATCTAGAGAGTATATATTCTTATATACAAAATACATAGATAACGGCCAAATCAATATATCCAAACTCATGAATAATAAACATTACGCAGGAAAGTATTATAAGCATCAAGGTCATCAAATATTGAATAATGGGACTAAGGCGCACAATGTTACGCCGCATCGAATGACATCATACTTATACAATAAGTAGTTTATGGGCAATTAGAGAATAGATGAACATATCTGACATTTATACTCACTACAAAAATCTGTAGACGGGTAAATGTAAATAATGTTTTTACCAACACCGTAATTGCGTATCTGTGATATTTATAGCTTCAATGTTCTGTGAATTGGAGATGTTTTAGTCAGTTGTGTAACAGCCGGCCGGCATCAAACACGCACAAGTTTCGTACTTATCATGGCCAAGGTAAGAACATGTGCTTGAAAATAAAAAAGAAATTAATTAGAAAGAATATGAATCAATATGAGATAGTTATTCTTTAATTTATTTAATAAATTTACTGTTTTAAATTTGTTAAATGCAGTAAAAGAATAGAATTTGTAGAATGTACGAAATTTATTATGACCTTGTAGTGCCGACGCATGTTTTTGTATATTCTCTAGTAGTTTTGACTGTTGTCAATGTGTTATACATGTGTATGAAATTATTATTTATGATATCTTTTTTAATCTAATATGTATAATGTTTCATATGCAGTACTTAATAAAATATTAATAATTAAAAAAAAATCTAATTTGATAAAATAATTTACCTAATAATGTAATACCTAATAATAATAAGTTCATTTTATGTTATATAATTACGATATAAAATTTAAATATTTATTTATTTATTCTTTATTGACCACATTACAAAAAAATGTCTGGTACAAAAGGCGGACTTAATACTATATAGCGTTCTCTCCCACTCAATATAATTATTAATATATGGACTATTAAATATTCTATATAATTATTGATTGTCCTTTTTTTGGATTCGTAAAACCCTGTTCGCACGAACTATCGTTCGATCATTCGATCAGTCTAATCTAGTCTCAATTGCAACTAGATTAGAAATACTTTTTTATGATTGTAACATGTCTCTGGAAAAAATAACAAAAAGTTAAGACTTAATTAATTCCCATGGAAACATATTACTAAAAGGCTTAAAGCAATTTATTTTTTTAACTTGTATAAAACCTGGTTTAGAAAATAAATATTATTATTATCTTATATTTATATTACATCATAATAAATTATTTCAGGTAAACATTCCAGCGCTTAAACTTAACAATGGCAGAGATATTCCAGCATTGGGCTATGGAACGTGGTTGGGCCTAAATGATAAGGTAGAGTTTCAGATAAAAGTTATGATTATTGCGGCGGCTACATTATTATGATTCGACGAAGATTTGCGCTGTCACGATATTTGGTCAAGCAATTTGTCATATCAGTGACTATTTGGGAGTATTCGAATCACGTTCACGGCCTTTTTGTTAAATGACAACGGGTTTCAAATCAAAAGGTTTTAACGTGGTAAAATTCATATTTTGAGCTATATTTTCTTCAAATATACTATATATTATACTACATAATTTTTTGTTGAAACAAACACGACCCTATAATGATATAGCGATAATCTTAAATGTATTGCCGAAAGTTAGCTATTGTAAGCAGGGTACTTCTATCCCATTTATATTTCTCCTGTTAAGTAGCTATAATTGGGTGTATCTAGTTTAGTAGGAAGGGGTATGGCAGTGAAATTATAATGTATGGAGGTATAATATCTTAATTCTTAGGAATGGCGGAGCGTTAAGAGTACCACTGGTACCACAAATATATTCTGATGTATCTATATTTATAACCTGTAGTTTTTTTTCATGGATGATAATGGAATAGTAACCCCGCCTGCGCTATCGATATAGACTGGCGGTGCACCAGTAAGGGATGATAGGTGAGAATGAAGCAGGTCAGTTAGCCCACTGCGACGAATCTAACAATAAAGTTTTTAGTCACTTACCATCAGGTGAGCCGCATGCTCGTTTGCCCCCTGTGTTGTAAAAAAAAAAAAAAAAAAAAAAAAAAAAAATAAATCGTAATGGTTTCCAGGGAGAACCACGAGGAGGTCCACCTGATAGGGTATATTGCTAGCAATGGGGTTACTAATCCATATTACTAACAATATCTTCTCCATCCTATGACCAGTAGTTACAATTCTCCATCAGGTAGACCGTCAGCTTCTTGTTATTACAAGTTGTAAAGTAGCTCAAAACTGTTCTAACAATGTATGGATAAATCCATGTTTAGTAGCGGACGATGAATGTCTAAAATAACAATAAAGGCCACAGCTATTAAATCATACTCAAACGAGCTTATTTGTTCGGCGTAGTTAAACTCGAAATTTGTAATATCGTAATGAATCGTCGATATAATAATGTAGCCGCAACAATTTATTAGATATACAAATATTTAATTTTAATAAAGACATAGATTATAAAAGGTCTAATGCTTTTATGTTACTATTTCAGGCCGAATTCGATCCTACAGATGTACCGAAAATGGTAGATGCGCTTTCATATGCTATTGATATAGGTTATCGGCATATTGATACAGCGCATCTATACAGAGTAGAGCCAGAGGTAGGGCAAGTCATTAATAGAAAGATACAGGAAGGAGTTGTGAAGAGGGAGGAGCTGTTTGTTACTACTAAGGTTAGTTTTGAATATTTTATTATTGACTTTTCTATTATTCCTTCAAATTGTTTTTAAAATACACACAATATCAGTCAATAACCAGCTAATAGATATTTAGTGTTATTAGCCCAAAATCTGTATTATCATTGAATTTTTTTATAAATAGGTTATTAATGGAAAAGTAGAAACGTTTTGTATGAATTATCTTGGTATTTTATACAAAAATAACAAACACTTTAGAGATTAGTTACGTTCAAAAATATAAAAAATAACTTATCGATTTACAGGTATGGCATCATTACCATCGGGAGGCAGATGTCGAGGTTTCGGTGAGAGCGTCGCTACGTCGTCTTAATCTTGAATATTTGGATCTTGTCCTAATGCACTGGCCTATGTCAATATCGGTAAGTTAATTACGAATTTTAACCTGTATTATAGATTGATAAAATAATGGCTAAGATCATAGATATAAACGAGTTTATACAATTTACATATTAAGCTGATAGTTAAGGAATTAAAATTATAGTTTTGCATTAGAAAATTAAAAAAAAGAGAGAAAAGTAATATATTTTTAAATTAAATTTACATATTCTTAGAAAAGCATAGCATTAGCTGTAACTATAATTCAATTGATGTATTTTTTTAGCAAGATGGCGTTGATGAGAAAATAGATTACCTCGAAACATGGCGTGGCTTCGAATCAGTTTTACAGAAAGGCTTAGTGAAAGCTATTGGCGTTTCAAATTTCAACGTTGAGCAATTGAAGAGACTCGTAGCCAATTCCAAAGTTGTACCAGCATCCAATCAAGTTGAGGTTCGTGCTGTTACAATATATTTTTGCTATAAAGAGTGGTTATAAGTATATTGCAGATATTTTTTTTTATGCAACTTAGAATGACAAATAAGTTGATGGCCCCCCTTATAGAAAGTAGTAACCCTCGCTTATAGACACGAACAGTACCATGAATATAACAGAGTATACTGTGTTGCTCATCCCCAACATATGTTGCCATTTTTGAGGACTACATTGTTGTGCCTCTATAGCCTATAATTTCATTGCCATATCCCACCCTTCAAACCAATCGCAGCCATGCAAAACAATTGCTTCACCGCAAAAATATGAAGGGGATACCCAAGCAGATGATTTTTGTACAAAGTCTCCTTCTATTATCTGAATAAATATAAATTTTAATCTTAAACCGAAGAAGGTTTTATGTTCAGAATAAGCTTGATAGTTTTCTTTTAAGAAAATATGAGTAAGCTCAGCCGTTTATAGTTAAATTTTATTACATTTTTACTTTATAAATATAATCATATCTCACTTTATCTCGCTTAGCTTAAGTGAGACCCTATCTATTCTATATGGTAAAGATTTTCTGTACTCTTAATTTTTTTTTATATATCCTAAATCTTTATATTTATCTTAATAATTTTAAATTTATGGAGTTTTACCATTTATTGTCTTATTCCGTTTAGAAATCTATTTAGTAAATCATAGCTCACCATTCTCGTTTCATTCATAATTCTTTCGTCGTTTAGGCCATTACGTTCAAGAAAGTACCTACTCTAACTAATATTAGCAAATAATCAATTTGTTATTTCAGTTTCTCAATATTTTCTATTTAACAATAATGTGATATGGAGTGTTGCTTTTTTACTTTTAATATTATTATTGTTAATATTCAATTCATTGTTAAATTTATTGCTTTGACTAGTCAAAAACCTGAGATAAACTCCCATCGATATACAAATAAATTTATATATGAGCATTCAAGCTTAAATAATTATATATTTAGTTTTAATGAGTTGGACTGTTATCCTTTTTATATAATCATATTATTATAAAAATATTGAGATTGTTAGTAAGCACAATTTTTTTACAGATTAATCTAAACTTGGGCCAAAAAGAACTAGTAGACTACTGTCAAGCCAATAATATAGTTGTAGTAGCCTATTCTCCATTTGGTACTATGGTACCTAGCCGAAACCAACCTAACAGTCCTGAACCTAAATTAAATAATCCAACCTTGGTGACCATTGGCAAAAAATACGGGAAAACTGTGACACAGGTCACATTAAGATATTTGGTGAGTATATATGCGTAACATTTTAGGATTATATAGAGATTGTTTAGCGATAAGGCAGCTTTTTGTATCACTTCATATAAAAAATTACTTTATGAAATTTAAATTTTCGCGTTGTTTACATATATTTTAAATACGCAATCGGGACTTAACGCGATGAAAAAGCTTTCACAGAAAAATAGTACTTACATACCTGCTTATTTATTGCCGACGTTTCGACGTCGATTGCACCACGTTGTGGTTTTTCTTTGCGTTAAGTCCCGATTGTGTATTTAAAAAAAAATAGTGTGTTTATTTTTTATATAAATAGTGCAATTAAGTGTAAAATATATGAATAATTATTTATTTATCTAAGTTGTAACTTAATGGATTACGAACATAAATTAGGTATTGCTTAGCAATTCTTTATTATAACATTAAAATTTATTGAAAAATTTCACAGACTTTTGTAATAAATTTCTTTTTACTTGTGTTTTTATTTCAAGAATACAAAAAAAAAAATATGTAAAGATACGTTCATAATGTTATATAGGTTAATAAGATAGGCATTTTATAATCCGAGGCTAGTTGATAAAATGATGATTATATATATATATATATATATATTAAATTGACAGTAGAATAAGAATGTTTATTAATAATCTATTAAATTTAAAAAAAAGTTCGTATTGCTATGAATTATATTTTTTTCAAAAGGTATATTTGAAAGTAATTATTACCATTTTTTGTATTATTTTAGTATCAACGTGGCATTATATCCATTCCAAAGACCGTGACGAGAAGCAGAGTGCTGGAAAATGCTTCGATTTTCGACTTTGCTCTCGATAATGATGACGTCAGGACTATAGCTCAATTTGATAACGGTTATCGCACTGTTGTGCCTGCTTTTTGGCAAGACTTCACTAATTATCCATTCGAAAAACGTCCAGTTAAATTGGAGATTCCTTTGGCTCTAAGAAGATGGAAGAACGGGGCTAACTTGGACATCGAATAAATAATTTTATTAATGAATTACCACGAGTTAATGCTATTAAAACATATTGAATAAAAGATATTTTTATTATACCTATTGTTATAATTCCTTAATATTATATTTAATATGTAAGTATACTTTTATTTTTTATTATATAACGACATATTTTTTTACTGGATAAAAAGTACAGGCAATAATTAAAAAAAATTAAATTAAGTGTGTGTGCAATATTTTTAAGTTACTTTAAAAGGGCCTCTACCCTTCACAATTTGACTATTCTTTTAAAGATTACGCGATAAACTAGCTAATTATGAATTATTTTAATGATTATTATTGTAATAGGAGTAATATACTAATATTAATACGGAATAATAGGGAATAAAGGAGTAAACCCAAAGTTTACTCCCATTACATTTTAAGAAAATAAGAATACAAATTAAAATTACAGGGTATGGAGGTATATTTTAGTTATAAGGAACAACAACACACCTTAGATGTTACAGCGTGTTGTGTAAAATTCATAGTCCTGGTCATATAATAAAAAAGAGCATTAGAAAGAAGTTTTTTTTTGGAAAATTTAATTATTATTTGCAAAATAAATAATTTACACAATATGTCAAAATTAAATGTACAAGTGTTAAAAACATCAGAAGATTTTTACCTCAGCATTTACCTATTCAAAGTTTGTTTCATAATTTATCTGACGCCGACGTTATATTGGGGAGTGGGGCTTCGCCAACAATACAATGAGGCTTCTGTGTGCCATAGAAATTTCTTAATTAACACGGACCCTTATATTATCAATACTTAGCAAGTGTCTATTGCCCACTAGTGTTATATTAAAATTGATTAGGTAATTAAAAGGATAGATAAGATCTCGGTGAAGCTGCTTATACCTACAATAAGGTACTATTAATTATTTTGTGTTATACCAAAGATATAGAAAAGTGTTCTGAACTTATAAAGATGTTTATTAATAAATATTATCTATATGTAATAAAAAATTGCGTTAATTATGCATTTTTCTGTATTATAATATAAAAAAAATTACATAAAAATTTAAACGATTATACCCGCGATTTTATCTACATGTCTACCATATATATAACGGAAAATTCATGAATAAAAATAAATAGCTTTTATCTCTCTTTATACCCAATATTGCAGGCCACCCCCCTCCCTTCACAAGATAGAGTGACGAACTCGAATGGTTTGCAGGGAGTCAGTAAATTTAGGTGACTCGGAATCGTTCATTACAGCAGTCTATGGGGGAGGCCTATGTTTAACAGTGGACAGCTAATGACTGATATAATGATGATGATTGCTCTTTTTTTCGAATTGATCACTTAACGCACACAAAAATATTTCATATTTGCCATATAATAAGAATAAATTCAGTTGTACATATTCGTTTACAAATTTTCAGTTATCTCTGTATTTTATTTACTATCTTCCGTTATTTTTAATAATTTGAATATATGAAAAAAAATGTGTATTGTTATATTGCTTCAACTGAAGATCTGGAGAAATAGAATACATAGTTTATGTCGTAATAAGTAATCTATCATATAGGGAGCAAAATCACATTTTACCAGGTCGACTACTTTTATTTACAATTACTAGGTACATTTGTAGGCATAAGCCCCATTTACCCACATACAATATGTATTTATATTTTTTTATATGAATGTTTTACAGCTCTGGTTATACTATACATGTTTATATTCAAAATGTTGAATTTTATTTCTTATTATATTATATAAATAATATACAAATGAATTATTTTCTCTCTAACTACACTGGGTTAGCTGGAAGAGATCTCTTTCAGAGATAACCCCTCCCTTGCTAACAAGTTGGTAAACTAATCTCTATATGTATTGTTCAAGTTTTAATGATACAAAATTATTCATATATCGCTATTTCGAAATTTATCACTCCTTTTTTTTATCATATGAAAATAACAATTACAGCATATTCACATAAATTTTCAGTTAATACTTTTTTATATATATATATATATTTTTATTTATATATATATATATATATATATATATATATTGCCAGTAACACTGTTTGATTTTCCTCATACCACTGTACTTGATTTTCATTTCCGTTCCGAATGCTTGAGATCTGTTAGCTGGTAACTATTGCAGTAGTCTATTAGCGTTATCTACTAGTAGAAGCTACGGGTTTGTATCGTTGTCCGCAATCGTAGTTTCGATTGATTGCGTTAGCATCATTCCATTACTCCTTTGGGTCTTTATTGCGTGTCTTTACGGTTATGTATGTATTTACGTCGTGTGTTTATATCTATGTGTTCTTTGACCGTATTTTATTACTATTTCGGTAACTTCGCAAATTGTTTTTTTTTTTCATTTCAACAAATTATGTTTACAGTAATAACAGAGATCATCGTTGTTTATTATTAATGAAGCTGACTTTACTTCACCCTTACCTACCATCCTTCACCAGTTCTCCCCATTTTATTCTTAACAAAAAAAAAAACTTCCTATTTAAATGCAGTTATTTTTTAATCCATTGCTTCTATAAAGCTCTTATTATTCTTAATTACCTAATAATATTATCATTTTGTTACCACATCATGTTATTCATCATCATTATCATCACACTGCTGAGCTTCCCCATGGAGGGTTTTGCTAGTAATTGCCATGTTTGGCAAGCGAATTGGTAACCGCAATTGGGTTTAATAGATATTTTAAGAGGGACGCTGCTGCCCATCTCTCGCCCTCCCTACGTCGGTATGCCGGAACCATGCGGTTATATGTTATTAATTCCTATTAATAGTTGATTTCTGATGAGTAATTACAGAGCGTCTTTTTCTTCGTAACATCCAGTTAATGAAGAAAGTTCTAGGATAATCTCTGAAATTATTTAATTTGTTTACCGATATCTAGTTTATATAAGCATACTATAAATTGTAGATAAAACAAACAAAACATTTTCAAGAAAGTAAAAGCTAAACGGATATATTAACTTCAGAAATTTTATCGTACAGTAATGTTCTTGAGACAACCCGCTAAGTAATTTCATCACTTTATTACCTCACACGGAAGGATCGTAAAATCACGTTACAAGTTTCACCAAGAAGTAATCCGACGACATAAAAACAAACTGAAAAAGTATTAACTGAAAATTTATGTGAATATGCTGTAATTGTTATTTTCATATGATAAAAAAAGGAGTATTAAATTTCGAAACAGCGATATATGAATAATTTTGTATCATTAAAAATCCTCTCCAGCCTTCAAAACAAGTACACCTAAGCAGCAAGCAGTAACTAGTTTGTGGTAATCGTCCTGAACTCTTGAAGAAAGTTGCGATCTTATTAGATTAATTACAACCCCTATTTTACTCGATACAGTTTTTGTAGTAAAAAAACTGTCTAAATATCAACTATTACAAATAGCCTATAATTTGTAGCAGTTGTATTTGCATGGCTGTGTTTCGGTTTGAAGGGTGGGATATGGCTGTGAATTTACGGGATGCAAAGGAATAACACCAGAGTCTGGCAGGACCTGAGGAATGGCATGGGGATATCATGGACGAAACAGTATACTCTGTTATGTCTATGGTACTTATGTCTAAAGTGACGATTACCATTTTCCATCAGGTGGGTCGTTAGCTTCTTTATCATTCTAAGTACAAAAAAAAAATATGAAATGCCGCTTAAATTCGATTGATTATACGAATTAGTCTTGATTCAAGTTCAGATTACAGATAGTATATCGAACATTTATATTTATTTTGAAGGGATCCAGAACTATTAACATATACCTACTAATGCAACTGAAATTGCGTACATTATTATGACTACTATCAATTGATATTAATACTTGTTTAGCAGTTCCATGATAAAATATATAAAAGAAAACATACATTTTTATTAATCTGAAATTTTAGTACCTACTCTTGAGATTACATAATACACCTTATCATTTGATTTATTAAGTCCAAAATCGAGACTTCTTGGCATATTTTAGTATTCAGAGCTTGTATGAGCATCGACATTTTTCTTTCCACTAAAATAACTCGGGAAAATTTATTCCAGGTGATTTAAAATTTATTGAGGCAAAACCTAATGTTTAGTTTGGACCAGTGGTCGTTTTGGTTGGAAATAGATTGAAAAATCCGTAAATGCGAGGAAGTCAAACCGGTATAGCGCTAGTGGGCTCGACTAAGTGGAAAAAATACAGTTTGCCACGTAGATAGTAGTAAATCTGTGAAACAGTTTGTATTCGCCAACTGTGCCACTGTGTACTGGCTGCGAGCCATAATCAATTCTGCCAGGGAAACATTTATTACGGAACTGTTACTACGAAATGTCTCAAAAACTAGTTGCTATTTACATTAAGTATACGTTGTCGTATTGTTTTCCGTTTTGGCGGTAAACGCTTTTGGGAACTTCCTCCACTGCTTTAATCTATACATAGGATTGCTACCCGTCTGGATATTCTCGGAATTGTCCCACTTTAAAGGTGCTCGAGAGCCGTCTGGTAGGTGGTTTAAAAATATCTTTAAAACAGTTAAGTATCCACTAGTTGCGTTCAGCAATTTAGCCCCACACGAAACTCTTATTTATATATTCGTATATTGAAAAATACTTTTTTAGTCCTACTTTTGTACGAAATTTCATATTTCCAGATTCATTAGCTAAAGCGATGCGTTATTTATTTTTATTTATTTATTTATTTATTCTTTATTGTACACAAAAAAAAATATTACATATAATATATATAAAATAAAGGTGTACAATAGGCGAGCTTAACTCTGTAAGAGTTCTCTTCCAGCAAACCCTGAGTGGAAAGGAGCATTAATTATTTATTAGCGGGCAGTATGCGTACAATAATAGAAGGAAACATTATTGATGTTTCTATTAAAACATATGAAATATGTTGACTACATAAATAACTCATACAATTAAAATCAAAATAAATACATATCTGTATACATATACATATATACATAGACATAAAATATCTCTTTACATACAAAAAAATAGGTACATATACATACATAGACATAATAAGTTTAAGAGGACAGAAGATGCTCTTTTAAT